AGTTCATCGGTGTCATATCTGGTGATCTTGGTGGCCAAGACATAGGCCCATCACGACCGATCCAACGATTGTTGCTCCAGGTGTCCAAATAGTTACGCACACGATTATGATGTTGGAAGTACATATGCATCCGAGTTTGCAGGTTGACATCCTCCAAAAGCAAAGGCAAATGCTCGATCAAAAAATTCAAGTATTCTGTACCTGTTAATCTGTTGTCGAAAAAGAAAAGCCCGATAACTTGTCTGCCAAAAACTCCTCCCCAAACGTGTAAGCTCCATTTATTTTGGAAATCTATTTGCCTAACCCAGTAAGGGTTTTCCGTCGCATGATAGTGCATGTTATGCCTGTTGACAACACCTATGCTGTTAAAAGTTGCCTCATCGCTAAAAAGAACCTTATCCAGGAAAGTAGTGTCTTCACTCATTTTATAGCATTATTCTACTAAACTCCAGTAGAGGTGCGAAATCCTGAGGACGAAGGCCTTGATGCAAGGCATAGGTAATAAGGATGGTACCTATGCTTGTGAATAATCCTTTGGCCAGAAGTTCTGCATATATCAGTTTCTGCCCCAATTTGCCGTGCACTTAAATGGGGATTTTCCGCCAACTTTAATAGAACCTCCAACTGATTCGCCTCATTGGTGACACTTGGATTATTTATACATTTTTTACTATATTGCACTACTCCACTTGATTCAAAACGTTCTCGTAGTGTGGAAAATGTTTCCGGCCTTGGATGTCGCATATTAGAGTACCGTTGCTTATAAATGCGAGATGCTAGGAAAATATTTCTTTGGGCTTCGCCCAAAACGAACACCATATTCACCATTTCTTCTTTAGAAAAATTCACTTTTAAACACGTTTTTATTATAATGCTCACAATTTGTAACTGATGAAAAATTTATTTGTTTCCAAGAATGATGCGATATTTTGGGAAATTAAGCCGTTCCATAAAAGACGTGCTAATAACCGAAAAAATAGCCGTAAATGTGTCTAGTATCAAAAATAAGCTTATAAATAATTGGATCCAAACTTGCACAAATATACAGGTTGATGCATTTAAAATGTTTGAGAAAAACTACAATTAGCGTTTTTGACCACCCTGTATGAGCAAAAATTAAAATTCGAAGAAGTAACGAATAAGATAAAATTTGAGGTGTGTAAGTTTCTTTGGTACAAAATTCAGCACTCCAAATTTCAAAATTGCGAACTGAGGGGTTGCCGAAGTGGACGGTTTTTCTAGACAAAACACCTTATATCTCAGTAGCTAGTTACCAAAACCCCATAGTATGTTATATCAATTTTCTTCTTTTGAATTGGTTTATCCAAATATGCAATAAAATTTGAGGCATTCCATATGAAAAATCACAACTTTGATATGTAGGTCGAAATTGGGACACCCTGTATAATGACCAATATTTTATAAATGTGCCCTCAAGTGTGTTGTATAACATCTCATAAATAGATTTTCCCAAAATGTATTTGTTTATGAGTAATATGCCGTCCACACATGGATGGGCTACCCTGTATACATATATGAAATTGTTGCAAAGTGTACTCGTGTAACTTTATTCTCAAGCTTTCTAAAATATGCTATCATCATCAGGACATTATCTCCTGAAAGAGAGGAGATTATCTCCTGATGATGATAGCATAGTTTATCGAAAGCTTGAGAATAAAGTTCCAAGAGTTAAAGTATTACTTGATTCTCTAGCTTTCTATGAACTTTATCATCATCATCAAGAGAAAAGTAGGTGAAATTATTGTAAAAAGTTATTAACTAAGTTAAGAGAACACTTAGTAGTCTGATGAAAGCTGGATCCATGGTAGCAGTAGTTAAAATCTATAGAATACACTTAGTACAAACGGACTAAAAACGTTAGGATTGGTTTTTAATTTTTTTGTTTTTTTACTGCGTGAAACATTCTTGCTACTTTACCGGGTTTTGTCCCGTGCGCCATTTTATATAGACTACAACCAGATAAGGTATGAAAAGCCGTATTCGTAATGCAATATGTAACATATCGAGAGCCGAAATTGAAGTTACAGTTTTGTCTACCCATGAGAGGCTTCAGGAACGCATAGAGCCTGATGGTCAGCATTTCGAGCATTGGTGGGGGAATTAAAAACCTTTCTTTTTTAAATCGGTCAGTTTTAGGGCCACAACTCAATAATAAAAAGAAATACCAGAAAATTTATTTTGAAAATTTAAAATTTAAGGGATTTATAATAATAATAAACCGTCTTTTATTAGAAAAAACAAATTACAGATAATGCATATATTATTATCTATAATTAGATTAGTGAGCAGCTTAATGGCGAAGTTTAGCTATGGCAGCTATTCTTACACTTAACCATTAACTGCATAAGAATAATAGATGGTAAAAAAAATACAGCTGTAAAGATAAAAAAAGGAGGAAAATGCCCATGTAACTGATTACAACCTAAATAAAAATTAGCTTAAAAATAAAATGCTGGAGAAAAACACCTTTAAGAATCACCATTGAGCAGAAGAGCTCTTAAGTGTTTTTTAAAACTATACAGCGGCAGGCTTTTTGTTCTGTAATCTAAGCTATTGTACAACATGCATGCATTATATGAGAAGGACCTGTTAGAAACAGATGAACTATGAAGTAGCATTGTTAAAGCGAATGTGTTACGGATATGTCGTTGATGAACATTATACCTAAAAATTAGTTTTTCACGTAAATAAATTGGAGTTCCAGAGACAAGTAACTTATGTAAAAACGTTAGATAGTTGTATTTAACTAAATCTGTGATCTTTAACCAACCTATACTAAGTGACATATAAATCCGAACACCCAGTTTAAATGGTTTTATTTTAATAAAAGTTGGTGAATGTATTTATCTTACTGTAAATAACAAGTGAAAACATTTTCAGCCTTATCAGTTTTACATTCCGGTTTTTATACTGTTTTTTTTTAATTCACTAACGCTCTAAAAATGAATATTTCAGCCGCAGTAAAGAATCAACGTTGGCGGATTTTGGTTCTTGACATCCTGTACGATCGGTTACGATGCCTAGAGTACGGAGACCTGTACGATTTCGTCAACTTAGTGAGTTTGATAGGGGCCGTATAGTGGGACTTCGGGAAGCTGGACTTTCTTTTCGGGCAATTGCAGTTAGAGTGCAAAGAAGTGTAGACACTGTGGTTAGGTGTTGTCAGGCATGGCTTCGAGAAGGCCGTAGGCAAAGAGCAAGGGGCACTGGACGCCGCCGTAGAACAACAGACCGTGAAGATCGCCGCCTAAGATTATTGGCCTTAAGGGACCGTTTCTCCACTACCAGGTCCATTGCAAATGAATGGTTTGCAGAACACGGAAGACCTATTGGCATGCGAAGTGTTTACCGACGAATGAGAAGTTTTGGCTTGTTTTCATACCGGCCACACTGGGTCCTTCCTTTAACTCGAGAACACCGACGTAATCGCCTTGAGTGGTGCAGACAACGGTCACTCTGGGATCAGGAATGGAACAGTATTGTCTTTAGTGACGAGTCTCGATTTTGTTTAGGCATGCACGATGGTCGTGCCAGGGTTAGAAGGCGACGTAGTGAAAGGAGGAATCCACAGTTTTTTGGTGAAAGACATGTTCATCACACTGTTGGAGTTATGGTTTGGGGTGCTATAGCTTATGGTTCCAGGTCACCTTTAATCTTCATCAGAGGTAACATGAACGCGCAGCGTTATATCCACGAAGTTCTGGAACCCCATCTTTTACCCTATCTTGACACCCTGGCAGATCCAACTTTCCAACAAGATAATGCCCGACCACATGTTGCAAGAGTCACAATAGACTTCTTTCAACATAATGATGTCACATTGTTACCATGGCCACCAAGATCTCCCGACTTATCCCCAATTGAGCACGTGTGGGATATGATGGGTAGGAGATTGCTCAATTTGCAACGTCCTCCTCAGGCTCTAGAAGCACTTCGAGAGGAGTTGGTGGTTGCCTGGAATGAGATACCACAGGAGGACATTGACCACCTGATCAGAAGCATGCCTAGGCGCGTTGGAGAATGCGTAGCACACCAGGGTGCATCCACACATTATTAAAGGTCAAAGGGCTTTAAAGCAGTGCAATCATTTTGAAATTTTTATCATTTACTTATTATGCTTCATTAAGTACTTACAAAATTTTATTAAAATAAAACCATTTAAACTGGGTGTTCGGATTTATATGTCACTTAGTATATTAAAGGATAACGATCCGAAACATGATCAAATTTTCTTAAACTAAATATGAATCGTACACAGTTATTTTGTACTACAGATATTCTGTTACGACTTGCAACATCCAAACAAGGATGATAAACTAGATTGCAATAATTAAAAATAGATAACACAAAAAATTCACACAACTTTTTTCGCACTTTAAAATTCAGCAAATTTTTGTTCGCATACAGAGTTCTCAGACGGATGTAACTTCGTTGTAAGAGGTTATTTAAATGTTCACGAAACAGCACGTTTTCATCAATAAACACACCTAGACACTTGACACTTTCAGAAAAAGGAAGATTTTGATTGTTAATAGATATAATCAAGGAAGATTTGACTTCGGCTCTTCTGTGATTTGGGCAAAACAGCACAGCTGAAGATTTAGAAACATTAACGGTTAGGCTGTTATTGGCTGAGTAGGTGCAAATAGAGTCAATGTCCTCGTTAATTTCCATATCAGCAGTCTGGAGGTTCTCAGGATAAAAGCAGTAAAGCAGTTGAGTGTCATCCGCATTTTATCAAAACCATAAAATTTTAGCTTAGCACAGATCAGTGCGTGATCAATATAAAATTTTCTTTGGCCTAAATTTTGGGTTAGGAACAAGATGTCGAGATGCATTTTGGGCCACTGTCATGTCCTAAAATGACTGCGGCAAAATATCAATAACCTTGTCAAACTTTAAGTCTCAAGATTACTCACGCCTTGGAAGACAGGCACTTTATTAACACTCTGACTATTATATGAATGTTTATTACGTACGGATGTAACCTGGAGATGAGATCCAACACTTGTGCGCCATTCCACTGCTGGGCTGCCTTCAATTCTTCCGAAGTTATTCCAACAATTTGTATAAAATCGACGGTACCGAAAGGAGTTTGAGCTGTTTTCAGTTGACTATCAGTGGCCATCAGCATGTGCTGGATACGGGATTCGCTGTTATCCAGAGCGCAATGCCAAGAAACATGGTCACCAGGTCGCAAGACATTACCTGTAAAAAAATTATTTCGATTGGACAATCATTTTTCAAGATACAGTGGAATCCACTTATAATGAACTTGCTTATAATGGGAACCCATATACAGGGTGACTTGTAATGTCACGTATTCCTGTTAAGGCGTGATAGATTAGGTCAAAAGCAACCGATTTTCTCCTATCATGTCTTATCCAAAAGTTAACCATTTTTGAGTTATTTGAGATTTAAGTTTTTTATTTTTTATTCCGATTTCAGACGGTTAAAATTGGAATACAAAAAACTGCATGCTTGATCTTGAGTTTTTTGTTATCGTCGCATAGCAGACATTCCAATAGTCCATATTAAGTAATAACATGTTGAAAAGCTACAAACGTTTTAAAATTACGCTTTTTAAATGTATCATTTTCTTTTTTTTTACTAACTTATTCGATATAAAATGCAATTTTCTGTAAAAAAATCTCCTAGTAATGAAATGTGCAAATTATGTAAATAATATCTCTATCTAACAAGCTTTCGTTTGAGGTATTAAGCGTTCAATTATCTAGTACATGCAGAGAAACAACAATGACACCCACAGAGGCTGGATTTTTAAGGAATTTAATAATAATAATAATAATAAACGTCTTTATTAAATAATATATACAATACATGTGTATATATATATATATACGTATAGCTTCCGCTTTTTGTTGGGTACTTCGACAAGATTTAAGCAAAGAGGACTCTTTATACTTTTTTTTAATTCTCTCTAGCTTTCAATGGACTTTGCCATCATCATCAGGAGCTGCAATTACAATGATAACAGTAGCAACAAAGGTGTAAAATGAATTTAAATTGACTCAACTTACAGTAGTATGTGAGAATGTTGCTAATTGTTGTTTTAGCAACATTCTCACATACTACTGTAAGTTGAGTCAATTTAAATTCATTTTACACCTTTGTTGCTACTGTTATCATTGTAATTGCAGCTCCTGATGATGATGGCAAAGTCCATTGAAAGCTAGAGAGAATTAAAAAAAGTATAAAGAGTCCTCTTTGCTTAAATCTTGTCGAAGTACCCAACAAAAAGCGGAAGCTTTAATTTTTCACCTAACTGGTCTAGACGACAATGACCACGTCTCAAGTTATATACGTATATATAAAGTGTAACTATAGTGGCGAAGTTTAGCAATATGCTACTCTAACACTTAACTTAAATAAAAATGCAAAATATATATAACAAATCACTTATAACCCATATGAGAAGTGGAAAATGAGATATTTTGTGTGCACATACGCTACTCTAAAAAGGTCTATGAAATACTGAGGGAAAAGTTAATCGTTCAAATAAGTCAACTTAACATTGTAGAGGAAACATGGTAAACTCATGGTCTTAAATTTACTGTCCAAAGAATTATATATTGCTGCAACGTTATATGAGAAACTTCGTTGGAACAGAGATGTTGTATGCTTCGGAATTCTGATAACGTGCCTGTCTCTAATAGCTCTATTGTGAATGGTGTTATTAAAAATAATTTTTTCACATAGGTATTCTGGCTTAGAATTAATTAAAATTTTATGGATAAATGTGGAAAAATGTAACTTGACCAACTGGTCAAATTTTAGCCATCTCAACTCTGCATATTTGTGAGAGACATGGTCGAACTTTCTCATGCCGAATATAAAGCGAACACAGCTGTTTTGAATCAGTTGGATTCTGTGTTTAGTGATCTAATCCAAACAGGGAAAATATAGAATACTGCAGTAGTTCAAGACAGACACAACGAAGGTTTCGCAAAGTTTTTTCCTCATTTTGAAGTTTAGCAGATATCTGTTTGAATAAAGACTGCGTAAACGTGCATAGGTTTTTTGTGTCAGATTTTTTACATGCTCGGTAAATCTTAATTTTGTATCAATTTCTACACCCAATATTTTTGCGCTATTGGTGAGCTCGAGCTGCTTATTGTCTATGTTCACATTTAAGAGCGAAACAAAGTCGTTCCTTCTGCTGTCTGAACAAAACAATAAAATCTTAGATTTTTCCGGGTTTATGCTGAGGTTGTGATCTGCTGAATATTTGCATAGACTATCAATATCTGCTTGTAATACTTGGACAGTGCTCTGTATATCTTCTATACCGAAACAATGCGAGAGCTGGGTGTCATCAGCGAACGATTGAATATCAGAGTTGTAAACTGATCTGGATAAGTCAAATGTATAGATTAAAAACAAAAGAGGTCCCAAAATGGAACCCTGAGGCACTCCTGAAGGTATGCGAGTGACATCAGATGTAATACTGAAACACATTGAGTCCTGTTTTTAAGATAGCTTTCAAAAAATTTGATTACAACCTCATCACAACCAACAGAACGTAGCTTAGCACATAAAAGTTTATGATCTATCTTATCGAAGGCTTTAGAGTAGTCGACTGATATTAAAGCTAAACCCATTTTTTTGTCCAGAACACGAAAGATGTTGTCGCATATATTTATTAAAGCCGATGTTGTATTATAATGTTTTCTAAATCCCGATTGATTAGGTGGGATTATCTGATGTACTTCAATGTGTGATGTAAGTTGAAGTTGTACAATCTTTTCAAGGATTTTTGACAAAATAGGTAGTAAACTGAGTGGTCGAAGATCTGATAGGAGACCGGGTTTCAAAGTTTTTCCTATAGGTATTATCAGTGCTTGCTTCCAAATTTTAGGGAAGTAACCGGTTTCAAGACATAGATTGATAATGTGAACTAAGTGGAAAAATATAACGGGTAGGCTTACCTTTACCATAGTTAGCGTAAGACCATCTATTCCTTTGGCATCTGATTTAAGAGATTTAATAGTTTGTAGAATTTCTGAAGGATCAATGATTCTGAATGAAAAAGAATCAGAAAAGTGACGATTTTTGTATAGGTGACATAATTCTTCCGAGGCATTATTTGTACTGTAAACTGACATAAAATAGTCATTGATTTCATTTGGATCAGATAGATTATCTGGAAGAGGGGTTTTTGTCCGAGAATGTATATTAAGCTGCTTTAAGCCAATCCATACCTTTTTTTCGTTATTCTGTTCAGATAAAAATTGTAGATATGCTCTTTTCTCTTTCCTCACCTGAGTAAGCGCGTGATTTCTTTTTTGCTTATAAATATTTAGGTTTTCTACAGTTTTATTTGTTTTATATGTAGTATGGACAATATCTCTTTCTTTAAGAATGTCACGTAGGCGGGGAGATAGCCATGGAGCAGGTGGTTTGTTTACTCTAAAAGTAGTTACAGGAGCATGTTTATCATAAACTCTCATCAGTGTATTTGTTAGGAACTCAACTTTAGCATCTATATGGTTCATAAAAAATAAGTCGTCCAAATTTGCAGAAGCTAAGTCACTTAGAAAATATTCTTCGTTGAAGCACTTGAAGTTCCTTACAGTTACAAACCGTTGTTTATTTTTCAAATCAGGAGTGGAGAGAGTGCACGATACCATTTTGTGGTCAGATATGCCGTTAGAATCAAGAACCAAACAGTATTGTAGGATCACTGACAATTTGAGAAAAACCCACCATTTGAAAGCATGGAGAAAGGACGTTGTTGCCGCTCAAAATATCAACATTCAGATCTCCTACAATAACAATGTTATCAAAATTGTTTGACATTAACGGCAACATGAGATCTAGAGCGCTGATGCAATCATTGAGGTTTTGTGAGGGTGGTCTATACAACACGCCCAAAAGCAAGAGGTATCTGTTTATTTTTATGCTGACCCACAGTTGTTCCAAGCAATTTCCAAAGCTGTTGTCAAAGTTAATAATTTCGACCTGAAGGTCAGTGGATATGTAGACTCCTACTCCGTCACCGCGGGATCCTCTGTCACTACGGAACAGATTGTAATTATTGATACTCACCGCATCATTGGTAATGTCTTGGCTCAACCATGTTTCACTTACAGCGAAACTACTGAACCGCTCAGTCTGGATCAGGTCAATAATTGCAGCAAAGTCGGACATGAGAGATCGCACGTTCAGATGACCAAGCTTCATTGATCCTAACTTATCCATAATCTATTCTAGCTTTAAGACTGAGAACATGGTTCTCAAAAAGCATACATGTTTTATCCGATGCAGCATGCTCAACATTTATTTTTGTACGATATTTACGGTTATACTGTACACAGTTTGCACATTTCACAGAATCATTGTCACAATTTTTATAAGAATGGCCACTAGAACACTTAAGACACGTAGATACATTAGATGCACAGTTCTTCTCAAGGTGACCAAACGAACAGCATTTTCGGCACTGCATAATATTGAGGTGATCAACTACGCTGCACCTCTTCCATCCTACGTAGACGAAACCTTTTGCTAGTAGAAGTTTTCTAATAGATGGAGACACTTCTAGAACTAAGTGCATATTTTTTGAATCCCTCAGCTTTAACTTTGTGACTACTTTCATCGAGGTTGAAGAATCTTCATCGTTCAAGTTGTTTAAAGACAATATGTTTTGAACAATGCTATCATTATCGCCCAAATCATCATTAGAAGAAACATTTATAATTATAATACGAGGATTAAACTTCTTGGATTCCCCAATGTGATACCCATTTCCAAGCTTGTTTCTAAGAGTTTCCTTCAGCTTCTGCAGGTCCTGCGAGCTGTTGCAATATACCGCTACACCATCTTTAGTTTTTTTTGTACCACTTATATGAACGTTTAGTTCGACTGGATTACCAGTAATATAGATGAATCAATATTTTTTACACGTTTTTTTAGTATATCGCTGTAGCTAGGCGTATTTACATCCTTGGGCACAAAAAGTGGTCCACCTTCACAGGTTACAGTATTTCTACCAGCAGGAAAATTATCATTATCGGATAATTTTGATTTTAACAGTGTGTTTGAATATTCCAATTCATTTACTAGTTTTTGCATCAGACCTTTTTCTCTTTGCAAACACTCGATTTCTTTCCTGCAGATAGCTAACTCAGATGATTCAAATGTTGTCAATTTGCCACAGATCTGATTGGAGACCGGCTTTTCCACTT